GGGCGCTTCAGACATGCTCTGTTCGCCGCGCTTAGCGTTACGCCACGGAAGAACCCAAAGGACATGCTCCGTTACTTTGCAGTCGTTGCCGATGTAAAAAATGCAGGATTTTCACTCACGAGGACGGAATGGAACACTGCATTGTCCTTTGCCAGTCGCTACGTGGGTGCTTCGAGTCAAACCGAGACGGAGACGGCACTGCACCTGTGGCGAGAAATGGAGCAGGATGCAGAGATTCTGGGTAATGAGGTTACCTTTAATATCCTCTTCGACGTTGCTGCCAAAGCGGGCAAGTTTGCGCTTGCAGAAATGACATATCAAGAGATGACGACCCGGGGCTTTCAGTTTAATCGGTATCACCACGTCAGTTTGATCCACTTCTTTGGACTCAAGAAGGACTCGAGCGGTATACGCGCCGCTTACAAGGCAATGGTCCAAGATGGAGAAGTGATTGACACGCGTGTGCTCAATTGCGTCATCTCCGGCTTTCTACGCTGCGGCGAAGAGTCCTCTGCCGACTATGTTTACGACATGATGAAAAGAACGGACGACAGGTCTAAAATCATACCGCACCGCAACTACTCGCACAATAAGATGGTCAACAAAGTACTTCTTATGTTTAGCCGTTTGAGCCGAAAACATCCTGACCTTAGTGAAGGGCCCCAATCCGCTATTTCAATGACTCCTGACCTGGCCACCTATAGAATCCTTCTCAACTACTATGGAGTCCGGTTAGGGCAGATGTCACAAGTCGCCAAGTTCCTGGACGAGATGAAGTTCTTTAGGGTGCCCCTTCATGGCTCAATTTTCTTGGCCTTGTTCAAGGGGTTCGCTTCACACGGCGGTGTTGCGGGTACAGCTTGGTCGGTCCAGAGACTGGTGGATGTATGGCATGCCTTGCTCGACGCTTACGATGGTGGCGCGGACGGCTTGTACATCAACACATGGATGGGAATGTGGGTGCTCCGGGCTTTCGCACAATGTACACAATCGAAAGAAGAAGTCTTGGCAGTTTATGAAGAACTCAGAGTCAGATGGCCGGCAGAGCCTGGGACGGATACGTTCATGTTGGATTTCTTGCACCACTTACTTATGCAGCATGACTGGGCTGCAAAGAATGTCCCCATGATACCAATATAGCATTGCAAGGAGTTCCTGGGTACTAAGATTATATTTAGATGTACAATAAGTGGAAATGCCCACCACGAATTTTGGGTAAAACATTGAGGCGATGACACACCCTTCCGCCTTGTAGATATATGCGAAGAAATCAAAAGTTAAACCACAATCGCTCCGCCCAGCCGGCTATTCACGTGTGATATGCTAGAGAAAAAGCAGGAGGGGGAAACCGTCCCCCTCAAGTTGGTCTTCTTATATTTCATCCACTGATCCAACTTTTGTTCCTTCCACTGTTGGTAATACGCCTCCCGCGAGTGCTTGCCAGTAAGCCCGAGCCTCGCATTCTGTTCTATTTGCAGACTCGACGTCCCCAATTCTCAGATAATGTTCTTTCAATTCTGAAGACGTTACCATGAGTCGTTCCTTGGCATTCCAGCCGAATTTCACCTTGGCAAACGTATACGCCCCGATATAATACGACGTTGCGAGTTCCGTCTCGCCCAGCCGTTCATGGAGTTTGCCCCGTAACGTATAATACATGGTGACGGGCGCGCGCTCGGCAACAATACGGTCAAGAGCAAAGTCGGCGTACCCGCCGTGGATCATGGGCCCGAGGGCGGCGAGGCCCATCGTGGCCATGTCGAGCCGCCCGGCCTCGAACATGACCTGAGCGTGCCACCAGCGCGTCCAGAGATACCACTCGTGGCGGTTCCAGTCGTCGGCGTGTCCGGTACTGCGGAACTCGTCAACGATGCTCTGGAACGCCTCAGCGGCGCGCCCAAACGGCAGGGCGCCCACGCGGTCCAGGCCCCGGGCCGCACGTAGCACCGCGGTCCGGACCAGCTCCTCCTCGCGCGGCACGCCCGTCTGCAGCGCCGTGAAGAGGGCGTTGAGTAAGGGGATGGCGATACACCAGAACTGGCTCAGCGTCATGGAGCTTATGAGTGCCCATAGCCGCGTGACGGCGTGTTGGGCACCCAACTTGATATTGCACAGGGAGGCGGCGTAGCGCACAAAGGACTCGGCCAGGGCCGGTGGCCCGGCTCGCGCCAGCTCTCGCACAGCGTGGATCGAGACCCAGACGAGCGCCGGCCAGGCGGACTCGAGGGCTGCTGCGTAGTGGCCAAAGGCGCGGTCCAGGAGGTGAAAGTTGCGCGCGTTGTGGTCAACAAGCTGATACTGCTCGCCGTCGCAACCACAGTTACCATCGTGGTGATCCTCCTTTGTCGAGGTGGTCAGGCCTTTCACCGCCTGCTGCAAGTCCGACCAGAACTCGAGCCGAAAGTCGCCGTCCCAGTCGTACTGGGACATTTGAGCGATGCCGTAGCCTTCAGTGTGCATGCGGTTCTCGACGCAGAGAAGTACCTCCACTAACCCATTGTTCTCCCACTGTCTGCCTGGATCCCCCGAGCCGAGTGATGGCGGTATGAATGAAGATGAAGCTGATGCCGCAGGTGAGAAATGCTGCGTGGTGGTAGTAGGGGTAGAAGCGGCGCTGCCATCCCAGTTTACAGCAATCTTGTACAGATAATCCTTGAGCTTCTTGGGGCCAACCTGGCGGCCTCGGATGATGGGCAGGATGACGGCCTTGCCTCCAAAAGCGTGATGGACAATCTGCGTTGCATTTTTGCTGTTGAGATTCTTGTGTAATCCCCATGACTTGAAGCGCCATTTGTACATCTTCTCACTATTATTCGGGGCATGTTTAGCATTCTTTTCTTGCAATCGGGCGGAGGTTGACAAGGTTCTTGCCTCATTTCCGTTGTTTCGTCGCATCAACATACTTACGTTGCATTGAAGCCGTGATCAAGTCTCATGAGCTCCCGTACCTCCTTGAGCGACCGATCTTCGTCCCAGTAGAGGCGTGTGATGAGGTCCCGGTGGGATGCCCAGTCCACGGCCGTTACATATGCGTTCCGGAGCGAGTCATTGTTCTCCTGCGTGTGATGCCGAGACGCCATGATTTCTTACTCACTACGGCCGCAAAAGGATCCAAATACTATCCTCCTGGCAACTCCGGACAAGAGTTTTGAGCATACTCACGCCAATCAGGTGCAGTTTCGCCCTCAAGATGCAGGAGTAAAAACCGCCACAGGACTCGCGCTTTTTTTGCAGTTTGAGATTTGATATAGAGGCTGGATAGCACTATAACCCTTTTCGTAGTATACGCGACTCTTTGGCTTGCTGTCGACGGTGAAAGGGGAACATGTACTCCCACAAGACACAAAGTATGCGTTTCTGGATGTTGATCTCTCGCGATCCGGTGTATTTGTATTTTACAATTGTCTCACGGCTGTCGTTCTTCTTTCCTCGCCATATGGGAGTGTATCCACATTGAGTAGGGTAGAGAAGAGATAAACAGCGGGAGGCCGGTCGATCAAGAAAAGAGCTTGGGAGGAGTGATGTTGGTGCTATCCATGTACAGTCGGTACATCGTCCGCATCGCATGTGGACTTGGACTGGGGACTTGGACTCCAGACCCTAGGCAGGCAGCCCTATAGTGCTGCGTATTTACAGGGAATCCCACTGGCATGTGGGTTGTTCCGGTGTGGGGGCTTAGAAGACATCATCTCATTGGTATGAAATCTTTTGGCTTCGGAGAAACAAGTATACATAGTAGTTTGTGGTCTGAATTGTAACTCAACCAATTGAGTCAAGATATCCTTGAGTAACGCTCAATGATCATGCAGAGTATTTTTGGTCGTTTTAGGCTTCAACGTACCGGTCTGCTATATCGCTGCAGATGATATTCGGACAGTTCCGATATAAATAATCTGACCCATATTTCCAGTCCCGATCATCAATCCTCGCCAGGAGACTCATCCACAACTGCTTCTCATCCTGCTTATGATGCATACCTGTATGTTTCGTATGTTCATGCCTTTAAGTACAAGCGCATAAGATCTGACTTGCAGGTTTGCTGTTTTGAAGCCTCTTGGCTTGATCTGATTCAGCTGAATCCAGGCACCGCATGGGCATGACCATCGCTATCTCGAGCGCCTCTTGTTACACCGGTCATCAAGGACCCAGGTGCCATATCAAAGGGACAGGACAAAATGGCAGATTCTCCCGGGGCAGGCTGTTCTATGTCCTATGGCATTCTTGATTCGTACGGGAGTGCTTCCGTGCTCTTTCTAGTTTGCTCGCATTTTGGATCCAACGTCGCAATTTAGGATTTCCCCCGATGTCAGATCATATATCAGATCATATCCTTCAGGTCCGTGATCGTCAAGATTTGGTAAGATCGTCCATTCAGACATTCGGCACATGTCCTTTATTGACTTCGCGGCAGAATGAAAAAGAACGTGGGTGGTTTCATCTGTAGAAAGCCCGCGCTTCGAGGATCTTCTCTGATCTGCAGTAATGTTTCGTTGAAAGTTCTCTGACGGTCATGGTAGCTGTTCATGCCCCAAGACTTGAGAATGAAGGCATCGCTTTAATGTGTCCTCGAGATTTTCTTGGATCGTAAATGAATGATGTTCCTTCGAGGAGTCCAAGATGTCTTCTATATAGGAAACAGTGCTTCTTATGCTCATCCACAAGTTGAGTAAAGAGTCAAATTTGAGACTGAGGTTCTCGCAAAGTGGACAGACAAGCGGTCCTTTGTCCAACCGCGACGACTTCTTGTTACATCAAAGTTTATGAGCAAATAAAAATAAGAGACAGGTTATGTCTTTGGATTGAATACCAAAATCTACTCGTCCAAATGCAGCTGGTAAATACATATATTTCGCCCGGCTTTAAAAGTTTTCCCAGATTCCAGAAACCCATCCGGCGGACGTTCATAACATTAATCTGCCGATAGATAGCCAAAAGAATTAGATAAACAAGAAGTAAAAATGTAGAAATCATTAATATAGCCTTGCGCAAAGGCAAAAAAGAGGTCAGTCGGGGATTCGAACCCCGGTTACCGGAATACCCGATTGAATCCAGAACAAGCCTGAAAATCAGAATCCGATGTGATAACCAACTACACTAACCGACCTTGGATGGTGGATGCGATGAAAAGACTGTATATAGCATTTGTGCAAAAACAATGACCGAGAAAATGCCGGACGATGAAGCCTTTTGACCTAAATGCAATGTTGCGATGATGCCATGGTAGGTGACGAGGTCTACCCGAAGTGCTGTAGAGTGCACTATAAAGCGTGCATCGTTTCCAGTCTGGGAGCAGTCGTTTGACTATGATTGTAAAAGTGACTGGGGAGACGTGTCTGGAATGACGATGATGTTTTGTCATGGAGGCCATGTGGATAGGCGTATAGAGTACAAGCTTGATATTTGCTGTAGTCCACGGGCCTAATTGCCTGTTAGCAAGATATTGTAGACTACAAAATAACCAGAAGATGAACCTTGATTACAGGTCTGTCTGAGCGATTGTATCGGTGCTTTCTGGCAAGGCCACGACTTGGATATGAAAGTGAGCATCTGGCTTGAGACACTATCCCAAGCAACGTATAAATTGCTAATCCGTAAGAACCGTCACGTATGCGTTTCGAAGGTACTTCTATTTTCTGAATCGTTGCTAGCAGCAAAAATAGACTTTTACCATTGAGGAACAGTCGAGTGCAAGTCAATGATGAGTAACGAATGGCATATGGCGTCTCACCATATGCTCAAAGTTGGCTTTCCTGCTATTGTTAACTTTCACTCAGATTGACCCACGACAGTAAATCAATCGATTTGGCATATCGAGCAGCGCTGCTCTGATATCGGGGATGCAGCAGTCAAATACGATGACCCAGCATCTATAATGATGCTTGTAATATTAGTCTGACGGATAGTTGCTCATGTCGACTCCCGACAAGTCCATCCGATCACATGTTTGAGACGGCACCTCGGAACCAGTGATCTTTGATCGTTTGATGAAAGTTGACATATGGAAATGCGTTGCGGCGATTGGCCTCGAGCTCTATTGTCCTCAAATATGTACAGCTTCCGTCCGCGGGTCGCCTAGCCCATCTATCACCAACAGCCCCGACGAAGCCTCCATGTGTACACGCTATCGTTTCCCAAGCAAGTTGCTTATGCCTTGGGCTTGTAGGTTTGCCAGACTGTACATCCGAATTAGCTATCATGCTCCCAGACGCGCGCAACAAGAAGCAGCCCGGGATGCCGCGGGCTGGCAGGGGAAATGACGCACCGGCAATGCCGAAGGGGGCGAAGAAGCCGGTGATCATGTACAGCCAGTATCGGACGGCGAAGTACTTGGTCTTGGTGTTGAAGGGCAAGTTAGAGTAAGGACCCTCGGGGTAGTGGTAAGGCGAGGTCATGCGAGGGCGGGTGGCGTGGAACATGCGGCGGCCCATGATGTTGGCCATGCGCGGGCTGGCGCGGAGGAGGGACTGAGGAGACATCTAGAGGGGGCAATTGAGTTAGTAGAGCTTTCGAATGGGGTAGCGAGGTGGTAGCTACCTTGATTGACGCGACGAGATGTCAGTTGTGGTGAGTGGAGATGCTTTTGTCGTGGGTTGAGCTTATGAGCTTTGCAATTCCGAGATGAGGTTCTATCCGCTAAGAATGCGTCAAGTCGAACGATGCCCGGATGATTCTCGGGTGCAAGTGCCAGCTAGAAAGGTACGTACCTGGGTCCGGGTGCCAAAGGTCAACTGCATCAATGCTTCCCTCTTTCAGGGTGTTTTTGGTGTCGGCTCTTGCCCCCGCTACCGCCTGCCCATTGAGTGCACTTCACATGGGGCAGCTCCTGGTCTCTTGGCTTCCAGGAAACTTGGAATTTTTCTGCCGTCGCAAAGCTCAGATGCAGCCCAAACCTGTAGCGTACCAACTGCTGCAAAGCCAGCGCCCGCCGACTTTTTTTTTCTCCCCCAGCAAGCAGCTCTGCACCTTCGTGTCGACGCTTTGCAAATCGGCGATCGCAGCAGTCCACCTGCACAGCAGCCAAAGCATCGGCGATTGACACCGATTCTACCTGCGCTTTTACAAGACATATTGTTTTTGGCGCAGGTCCTTTTTTACCGCCAATTACTACATTACCTTTACAGCGTACGCGCCGTTCCAATCCCCGTTCCCTCACTTTTATTTTCACCTCCAGTGTAGTGGGGTGCCAATCGATAAGAGCTACAATTAGACACCATGGACGACGATCTATTCGACGTCTTTGAGGACCAATCCGGCAAGGCCAAAGCTGAGCCCCAGTCCTCGCCGCCCGCAAAGTCCAAGAACAAGAAGAAGAACAAGAAGCGCAAGGCACTCGAGGCTCTGGACAATGGCGACACCGAAGCTGAGACACGCTCTGCGCCCGAACCTGATGTGGACATGGCCGACGTAGAGCCCACCTCGCCCGAAGACGAAGCTGATGATATGGAAGAGGATGGCCAGACCGTCTCCGAGGGCCACCAGGATATCAAGCGCAGGAAGAGGGAGGAAAAGGCAGAGCCAGTCATTACAGACTCGTTCCAGACGGCCGAATCGAGAGAGCTTGCAGCCGCAGCAGGTTTCGCCAAGCAGGATGAAGAGTCGTCTCTGGTTCTCTCCCACAACATTCAACACCAAGTCGCACTGCCTCCGGACCTTGACTACGAATACGTGCCCCTCTCGGAGCATAAACCGCCTGCCGACCCCGCGCGATCCTGGCCATTCACCCTCGATCCTTTCCAGCGCCTGTCCATCTCTTCCATTGAGAGGGACGAGAGTGTTCTGGTCTCTGCCCACACCAGTGCTGGAAAGACTGTTGTTGCAGAGTACGCCATTGCCCAATGTCTCAAGAAGAATACTCGTGTCATTTACACCAGTCCCATCAAGGCTCTCAGTAACCAAAAGTACCGTGAATTTAACGAGGCTTTTGGTGATGTCGGTCTTATGACTGGTGATGTGACGATCAACCCTACTGCTAGTTGTCTCGTCATGACCACGGAAATTCTGCGATCCATGCTGTACAGGGGCTCTGAGATCATGCGTGAAGTCGCTTGGGTTGTTTTTGATGAGATTCACTACATGAGAGACAAGACGAGAGGTGTGGTTTGGGAAGAAACCATTATCCTTCTTCCTGATAAGGTCCGCTACGTCTTCTTGTCTGCCACCATTCCCAACGCATTCCAATTCGCGGAATGGATCGCCAAGATTCACAGACAGGCTTGCCACGTTGTCTACACGGATTTCCGTCCTACTCCTTTGCAGAACTACTTTTTCCCCTCGGGTGGAAATGGTATCTTCCTTGTTGTGGACGAAAAGAGTGTCTTCCGAGAGAACAACTTTCAAAAGACCATGCAAATGATTGAAGAGAGAAAGGCTAGCGATGCAAACGACGTTGATGCCAAGATGCGAGGCAAGGGCAACAAGAAGAAGACCTTCAAGGGTGGCAAGGACGACGCCAATGCCGATATCCAAAAGATTGTCAAGATGGTCATGTCCAAAGGCTTCAACCCTGTTATCGTCTTCAACTTCAGTAAGCGAGAGTGCGAAATGATGGCGCTCTTCACTTCCAAATTCAGTTTCAATGATGAAAGCGAGAAGGCTATGACACGTAAGGTCTTTTCGAGCGCGATAGAGTCGTTGTCGGAAGGCGACCGTGAGCTGCCCCAGATCCAGAACATTTTGCCGCTTCTTGAGAAGGGTATCGGTGTGCATCATTCGGGACTTTTGCCCATCTTGAAGGAGACTATCGAAATTCTGTTCCAGGAAGGATTGATCAAGGTTCTTTTCGCTACCGAGACCTTTTCCATTGGTTTGAACATGCCGGCAAAGACAGTTGTCTTTACGCAAGTCAAGAAGTTTGATGGTGTCTCGAGGAGGCCATTGACTTCGTCCGAGTACATCCAGATGGCCGGTCGAGCCGGTCGTAGAGGTCTTGATGAACGCGGTATTGTCATCATGATGATTGACGATAAGCTCGAGCCCGAAACTGCCAAGGAGATTGTCGTTGGTCAACAAGATCGCCTGAACTCGGCCTTCCATTTGGGTTACAACATGGTTCTCAATCTGCTAAGAATCGAGGCTATCTCCCCCGAATTCATGTTGGAGAACTGTTTCTTCCAGTTCCAGAACACTGCAAGCGTTGCAGGTCTGGAGCAAGAGCTCATGAAGCTCCAAAAGGAGAGGGACAGCATGGCCATTCCGGACGAAGCCACCATCAAGGATTATCACGGCCTGCGCCAGCAGATTGAGGCATACACCAAAGACATGGTCTATGTCATTCAGCACCCGAACTATTGCTTGGACTTCCTCCAGCCAGGTAGGCTGATCCAGATCCAGAACCCCAAGACAGGCCAGGAGTTTGGTTGGGGCGTTGTTGCAAACTTTACAGAGCGCCGAAGTCCCAAGTTTGGAGAGAAGGCGTACGAGCCGCAAGAGTCTTACTTTGTTGATGTATTCCTTCATCTTGACCCCAAGGGCGAGGACTTTACTCCATTGACTCACCCTTCCAATGAAATGCCCAACGGCGTGCTTCCCCTCAACGGGGCCCGAAACTCACGATTCGAAGTTGTGCCGTGCCTGTTCACGTGCATCAAGGCAATCAGTCAGATCAGAGTCTTCATGCCTAAGGATATCAAGAACCAAGAGGACATTGAAGAGGTCCGCAAAACCGTCCTCAAATCTTTGACCGAGGTGGTTCGCCGTTTCCCTGATGGTGTACCTATCCTGGACCCCATCGAGAACATGGGCATCACGGATGACTCGTTCAAGAAGCTGTTGCGCAAGATTGAGGTCCTCGAGTCGCGCTTACTTGCTAACCCTCTCCATGGATCACCCCTTCTCCCTGGATTGTGGGAGCAATACTCGAAGAAGTTGGCTCTGGCTGACAAGATCAAGAGTTTGAAGAAGCAAATTGGCAAGGCTCACAGCATCGCTCAGCTTGATGAACTCAAGTCTCGAAAGCGAGTCTTGCGTCGTCTTGGCTTTATCAACGATGCTGAAGTTGTTGAGATGAAGGCTCGTGTCGCTTGCGAAATTTCGTCAACAGAAGGTCACGAGCTTTTGTTGTCGGAGCTGCTTTTCAACCGGTTTTTCAACGAACTCACACCCGAG